TTTTTCTATTTTAATTTATTGAAATCCAGTCCCCTAGCCCTTAATTGTTGCACTAGAGTCATGTTCAGTCCTTGAGGTCCTTTTTTATAATTTGCACTTTTGTGCCACCGAGTTTGTCAGTGCGTGATTGGTCAGCCCAAATTCATGCACTTTGAAATAGTTGGCATTGGCCAATCCCTTTCGCTGCTGTAATTACAATGTCAATTGTCTTCTTTCAGAGGCACAATTTAATATTTCCCAACAACTGCAGGTATTCCAATCGGAGCTTGCTATCCAATCGCAAAGAAATACTTTGTATAAATGTTCGAGGAGAACCACCAGCCGCCTATTCTTGGAACCCTTCAGAGAACTACACACGGGAGCTGTCAATCCCTGTTTAGAAAGGGGAATTTTTTCTTTGCAGATTGGATAATTTTTGACCTTTGATCTGATTGAAAAGGCCCTCTGCCATTACAAATTTAATGCCCTAATGTTTTTGCAATGTTAGTACGCAAATACATGAGAGGGATATAGTATTTTTCTTTGTCTAAGAAAATGACTATTGTTTGTCATTTTTCAGGGAGAAGGGGCGTAGATTAATTTCAGAATGAAGTCTTTCAAGGTGAAAACAAAGACCGAGCATGTATTTCAGAAATCTTGCACGTTTTGGCCTCTCTTAGTTTTTCCCCAGTGCTTAATGACAGCAAACCTGTTTTCTGCTTTAGATTTTTGTGTCTCTTGTTACTTTGTTTTGGGGTAAAATTCAAATTATCGCCGAGTTTATAATCATATCTAGAAACACCCCGTACATCATTTTTTCTGACCGTGCCAGCAACCCTGAGGTCATCGGCCTGGAGCTACTTTGAGAAGCACTTCAAGTGAGTTTTTAGACTCGTCAGTCTCTAGAATATATACATGTTAAAGTGGTGAATAAAGCGGATACGTGTGTGTTGAATGTTTGTCTCAGACTTTTCTTTTTTAATAGATATATACCTACATGGTCAATTGGCCTTCGCGTACGTTTTTGGTGAAGGGCAAGAGGACAGAGCTTATTCAATATATGCCCATAAAACTATTTAAAAGTGTAAAGGCTGGTACAAACTTCAGGCAAATGCTAAATAAAGCGAACAACGATGTCATGAAAAATTTGGAGCGATATTTCGCCAGAGAAGAAGTGAGTTCGACTTTTGCAAATTCTGACCTCTAAATTTTGCGCACGTGTTTGCTTTCCCGCCGAACATGAACTGACCCATTTATAACGAGCATTTGTGAATCACGGTGTTGAAAACAAGTGCGCAGTGCATCACACTGGTTCCCACCAGGCCAAACCATTGGCAAGGAAGGCATGAGGCAACCAGTCAATGTACAGTTCCTCCCAAAAAGGTCACGAACATTCCATTACATGTACATCGTATACGACTGCAGCTCTACAGTACCTGATTTTGCTTTCGTTTTTATAGTAATCTTGAGCCAAAGTAAAGGACCGCTCATTCGCTAGTGTTAAGTAGAAAAACGTTTACAAAACCTATGGGTAAAAATTAAATATTCAAAAATCAATATAAAATAAGGTGATGACCTCATCATGAGGTCATCCTTTTGCAATAAATCTTGCGTCAGGGTCTTTGTTGGCTATCATTTTGGCAATGAGCAAACATCCTGAAGTTACCAAAATTGTGGCTGGAAAACGTGTACAAAGTCAATGGGCCATTAACTTCTTTGCAGAACATTGCTCCTTTAAGCTCATGTCACGTGATTTGCACTTAAACTAAACAATTTTTACGAAATATTACTTCATATTCAGACTCTTAGGCATATTTCAAATCAAATAACAGAGCCTAAAGTACCCGATTTCTCTTTCGTTCTTATAGTAATCTTGAGCCAAAGTTAAAGACTATTCGTTCACTTGTGTTGAGTAGAAAAACGTTTACAAAACGCATGGGGAAAAATTAAATATTCAAAAATCAATATAAATAAGGTGATGACATCATCATGAGGTCATCCCTTTGCAATAAATCTTGCATCAGGGTCTTTGTTGGCTATCACTTGGGGAACGATCAAACATCTCAAAGTTACAAAGTCAACGGGCTAGAAACACGTGTGCAGGAAAACTGCTCCT